ATTTTTACTGTAGTTTATCATTGCCATTGTTTCCTGTTGTGTCTGGAGCAGGTCTCTTGTAAACGAGTCCTTGTGCCTCCATGAAGCCAACCTGTATAAATAAAAGGTTGAATAAATCATTATGTGTATATTTATATTTATATTCAACCTTTATTGATACAGGTTAGTTCCACTGAGCCAATAGGACTCATTTACAAGAGAGACCTGGATTTGAACAAAGAGTGATGACAACAGTGGATAATAAACTGTTTTTAATTGTAAAACAAACAAACAATAAACATTTGTCTGAATCATTAGTGAATGTGTTGTTGTTGTTGTTGTTGTTGTTGTCAGTGTGTTATGATGTTGTGCTGTGGTCCAGTGTGTCCACAGACGATGTGTGTGAGGGTGGACATGTTTGGAGGTTGCTGTGTTGAAGCTCCATGGATCAGCCTCTCTGCAGCTCTCAGCACCTTCACTGAGCTGCTCTTGTTCTTCACAGGTAGAAGGTGGGAGCTCTCGTCAAATCATCATCTCCAGCATCATCTTGTTCATGCCACGCTTTTCATCCACTGACCACACACACCTGCAAACATCAGGGGACCAGTTTAACACATCTGGAAGGAAACCAGTGAGATTTTAATACGACCAGTATGATATGATGTCATGTGGGGGAGTGGTGGAGCAGAGGTTACAAGATGGGCCTGTGATGGGAAAGTCACAGGTTCAACTCCCGGTACCATCAACATCAAAATGAGGTGGAAAAGGTGAAACACCCACACCTGCCTCCACCCTCATTGGCCCCACCCTGGTCCCCTGAGCAAGGCACTCAACCCCCACCATCTGCTCCTAAACAGGTCTCTCTTTAAAATGAGTTCTCGTGACTCAGTGAGTCGACCTGGATAAATAAAGATCAATGAAAAATAAAGTTTAAAATAGAAATACATCATGAGGCCCAGGTTGTGTGTGTGACGTGCACGTTCCTGAGAGTGTGTGTGTGACGTGCACGTTCCTGAGGTTGTGTGTGAGACGTGCA